ATTGCTTAGTCTGGTTCTTTCTGAAGAACAACATTGAGGAGGAAGCATGAAAAATACCCTACAGGAAGCAGAGAACATCTTTTCTCTTGATACAAATATCCTAGTTGATAATGAAAATCAAAACTGCATATGCCAGACTGCCCAAATAAAGACTTTAGAGGCACCAACAACAGAACAAAAATATAAACATTTTAGATTTTTGACCTGATACATAATAGGCTCATTTTATTATGCATACTGTCTCTGAGAAACATCTCAGAAGTATTACTATGGAAATAGCATGATTATATTTTACAGAAATATAAGCTTAGTTACAATTCAAAATGTTTTTAAAACTGTATCAGTTCTTATGAACTAAAGAAATCTCATAGCTTTGAAAAATAATTCATTTTCAAACAAAGTGAAGAAATGTATTTTAATTGTTGGTTTAATTTCTGAATGTGGCCCTAGGGATTTAATATAGTACAACTACACTGGTTTTTTAGTATTAATGAAGTCAGATGGAGAATATAAAAAAAGATCTTTTGCCCATGAAGAGACTTCATGTCATTGGTAATAGCAATGAAAAACTAAGAACCTTTAAAAATAATATTTTTCTACTAGTATGTATTAATATATAGTCATAATTATTTATCAACTCCCCTGGTTCTGAAGGTAATCTTTACCCTGGAAAAAGTAACGAGAAAGTGAACAAATCTTGTTGAAAGTTTTGCTCACTATTAAGTAAAAGACACATGTCATTTATATCTGCTTATTATTTTTTAAAATGTAATTTGGGAAGAAAAATTTTAATTCTTTTTGGGAAGGGGCTGAAGAAACCCCAGTGAGACATTCTGTAGAGAGGTTCTTTGTTAGTGTAACATCTGACCTTCTATATCTTTGGAAATCATGCAACTTGGCTAATGTAGTCCTTAAAGAATTAATCAAGCAGATTGTAAGGCCCTAGTTACAGTGGAGCCAGCCAATTATGAGTTGCTCAGAAATTCATCACTGGCATGTTCAACCACATTTTCCCACATAAAGATTAGTAGAAATATGTGGAAACAGGGCCCATTCCCACCCAGCACAGCTATAATATGTGTCCAGTGAAACAAATTTCAACAGTTTTACCTTAGTAAAACAGACTTTATTTGGGATTCTTTCTGATTCCTGTCTTTACCTGTAACACCTTTTCCTGCCAAAATTGCGAAGACTGCCCTGCTTAGCTAAAACCCAACTAGAGACTTATATTCAAATACACTTCTGAATTCAAAGCACTAAAGTCACATGCCACAAGCCTGAATTCATCAGTGAGTGAGTGAAATTCCCAAAGACCATCTTTTAAGTCTTTTCACTGTTGTGATAACACCCTCTCAAGCCTTACTAAGAAGAAAGCTTTACTTGCAAGAGCGAAATGAAAGGGGCCAGAGTAGAAGAAGATTGGTTCTCTAAGGAGAGGGCAGTGCTGCTCTTAAATAAAGAAGCTCCTTTCAGATAAGCAGAATCAGATTCCAGTTCAGTTGGTCTGCTGGCTACCCTTACTTTGAACTCTCATGTTTAACCCAGCAGGCTTCAAAGCAGGTGAGAAAATGACCTACCACTTAAAAGCAATTTTTCCTTTTTCAGGAATCCTGGCCTCGAATATCAGCTCTGATATCAGCACATTCCACATCTCCAGGGATTTATGCAACACTTTTTCATTGCTCTATGTCTAATGTCAGAGTAGGTTTTCATCTCAGCCAGGAGAAAACCCAGGGGAAAAAAATCCTAACTTGCTGAAAATGAAGTCCTAGTCCACATACCTTGTACCATGCAGAAGAGGAGGAAGTAAAACCACTAGCCATTCTAGTTCCTTCCCTTTCATCTGTCTAAATCTGACGTATAGTGAGAATTATTACAAATCAATTCTCAGTGCCTGGCTTCACAAAAAAGCAATTTTTGTGACAACTATATTTTAAGAAATTCAAACTGAGTCTGTTCTAGCATGTGAGCAAATACAAAAAGAGATTAGATGAGGAAGAGACAATGATGAAATTTAGGAAATTTTCTTAAATTGTCTTGCCTTCCTTAAAGAACAAGCACGTTTCAAAGATTTTTCATCAATTTCTACTTCATTTGGCCATCAAACATCTGATTTAACTGAAAATCCTAACAAAAGTAGTTTGCAACTTACTGACAGGTTCTGTTCTAGAACTGCCTGGAACTTGAAACACACTTCTCCACTTTCTGTTTCACATATGCATCATCTACCAGAAGTAGAGTACTAATAATATGTTTATAATAGTGACACCCAACCACCACTTATACTACAGTTTCTATGGAAAAAATGCATCTTGAGCTTACTGTTAGGGCACATTTCTTCCAAACTGAAGGGACTGGGCTTCCCACTGTTGCTGCACTTTGGTGATGATGTGACACTCACCAGGTTGTTATAACACTTGCTACATTTTAAACTCATGTAACTGTCAAGTCCTACGAGAGGCAGCATTATTCTCAGTTTACAATTAAGAGTAGAAAAGATTAAATAACTTACCCACAGTTGCACAGCCAGGTATTTCAGAGCTGGAATTCAAAATACAGCAGTCTGCTTCCAGAGTCTCTGTCTTACCCACCTGGCAGTGCTGCCTCTTCTCTACCCTGGCAAGGTGACACTGTCCAAGTGTTCTGAATTTCTCATGTGGGGGTAGAGCAGAGCAGGGCTTCTCAAGTTTACATGTACATCTAGAATCACCTGAGGAGCTTGTTAAAATGCAGATTCTGACTCAGGGGTCTGGAGTGGGGCCTGAGCCTCTGCATTTTTAACAAGCTTCTGTGTGACAGGTGTTCCTAGTGCACAAACCACACTATGAAGAGGTGAATAAGTAGCATGTAAGCCTCTAGATCCTTGTTATTTTGTCTGTCTGTCAAGGCTGTATACGTTGGGTTTATAAGCTGTAGACTGCTCATATCATAACCGTTTGCCATTAACTCTCAAATGGAACCTATCTTTGGAACTGCTGCATAAATATTGATTGGCAGGTATTTTCAGTAAATACTTAGCCTTTAGGAATTTAAAATGCACATGTCAAAGCTAAAGGGATAAAATATGACTGTAAAAGTTTACAGTTAGGAACGCTTTTAATGCTCTACACTACCAACTATGCACACACCAAAACATAGCAAATAAATGCTTTTTTATTGTCCATCAACTAGAATCACAGTCTAGCAATAACTAAAAAAGAAGCTTCCACTTTAAAATATGTAATCATTCATTCCCAGATTCTGCTAGAGGAGTGCTAAGGAACTCGCACTATGTAACCTTAAAGGCTCTTCTGGTGCTATTAGTGACCTCTTGGTAAAGGCAGACACTCTATACTAACATTGATGAACATACCATATAGTGAGTATACTCTACACTGATTTTAGCCATACCTCATAGAAATCACTGACAGTGGCTGCATGACTAGATCTCCCTTCTCATTCTATTTCACCTCCTTCCCACCTCACTCTCCTGAGAGAAACCCAAGAATCATCTCTCCCAATTGCCTGCCTGTGATTTCAAACACACAGTTGCACGTTTTCTTTCCAGCTGTTAATTGGATGGAATTCCCTTTCTAGTTCACTGTTTTTCCATGCCAGATTGCACAGTAAGGTCATTTCAGTTTGAGATGCACTCACTCAACTATCAGCATTACTGCAAAAAACAGAGTTATGGGTATGATCAGGAAGCTTCCTTTTTACACTAAAAAGAAATAGAATCATCTGTTTCCAACCCAAATATCTGTACTCCCTGAACAACAGTGGAAAGTCATTCTTCTTGAAGTTTAACCCAGAATCAAGTGCAAACTCAGACTGCTAGGCCTACAGCCAGTGGCAACTTAGCACATTATAAGTTGACCTTCAGGGAAAAAGGGAAACCACTGCTCTTACCACTGGTGCCAGAAGAAAGCCAACTAATCTTTAAGGCACAAAATAAACTATTCTTAAGGCAGGAAAAGAAACTGTGAGGAAACAGGGAGCTAAAATGGAGGTATATAGAGAAAAATATAGAAAAATACATTATCAAGTAAGGACTAGTTTTTCTATGGTTATCAGTGCTTTTATATTTGGGAATATAATGAATTAGCGTTTTCTTTTTGGGTTTAAACTTTTATTACCAGGTAAAAATACAAAGATGTACAAGAAAGATGCATTTTTAAAAAGCTTGGAGACTTCAAGAAAATTATCTTTGTTCATTTTACTTTGAGTCAGTGACAATAATTAATAAGTTCATGTAGCAGAGTAAATAGTCATGGGATACTCCCTCTAATATCAGTCCTCAAGTATTTCCTGGGTCAAGAAATGGGGAAGCAGTTCAAAACTAAAAGGCAAAAACGAAAACAAAGGTCTATACACCATTCCATACTTAAGTTTGGGGAAGATCAATAAGAACATGCAGACATGGTAACTGGGAGAAACTCTGAGATGCAGGCACATTCTGTGCCCGGGGCAAATGTCTTGTCTGTCCCATCTTACCCACTTACTCTCCACTCTGGTTGTGTTCTTGAATTTGAAGTTTAGCAAATCCTTAGAACTGATCATTTCATTCAAATGAAAAAGTCAAACGACTTGTTTACAAAATAGGGAATTTTTTAAAATGCCAAAGTAAAATAAATGCTTTTTTATTGTTCATCAACTAGAATCACAGTCTAGCAATAACTAAAAAAGAAGCTTCCACTTTAATGATAAAAAACAGCTGAGTTATTTTTTAGCTAGTAACAAATAATATGTTTATTACCAAAAGTGATTATAAGAACCAACTTTATAATATAGTATTGTTATATTCTTATACTGTATTTTTTAAACTTTTAAGGAACAGAAGTATAGCTCAAATCACCAAAAACTTATGTTGGACATATTTATGGCAGCAACTTTACAAATTAATTCCTGTAATTCCCCAAAACAAATATTTTCCACTGCTCAATCAGGTTAGCACAAGCAGATCAGAAAATTTCTTGTGTGTTTTACAAATACTCTACACAAGTCCTTGAGATCATACTTACTGCTTTAGCAAGAATACCCATGATTTCAGGAAACTGGTGTGTGACAAGAGCTATCATTGCTGTAGAAGAACACAGTCCTGCTGTGAAATGGATGAAAAAAGGAAGCTCCTTCTTTGGGTAAACAGAAACATGATGAAAGGCTGCAAGGAAGAAAAAGTAAAAATGAATTTTATTTCCGAATACAGTATAAACTAGTCTTAATATTTTCTAATGGAATCTATTTTTACAAAATAAAGCAACAATAAAAAAATGGCTGAGTGTGGTGGCTCACGCCTGTAATCCCAGCACTTTGGGAGGCCAAAATAAAAAGATTGCTTGAGCTCAGGACTTAAGAGACCAGCGTAGACAACATAACAAGACCTTGTCTCTATAAAAAATAAAAATAAACATTAAAAAAAAAAAAAAAAAGAACAAGAAGTCTCTGACCGGGAAAGGCAGAAGAAATTATCTGTTATATATTCCAGCATTAATAGCATATCCACACAGCTAGATGACTGTACTGGGGTCTGAGAATAGGATGGCATCGTGGGAAAGAAGATTGATTATAAAGTCATGCTGAGGTGGTTTTGAAAAAGAGCTTTGTCACTTATTAGCTGTGTGATCTTGAGTAAGTTGCTAAACCCTCTAGAAGTTGCTATGCAGTTGTCATGATGAACATTGTAAGCACTTAATAAATGTAAGTTGCTATTAATTCTTGTTCTCTGGGAGCTGAAAAACTAGTATAAAGATAAAGAGACAAACATCATTGGAGATTTCCTAGAATAATCACTTACTAATTTTACCCAGTTATTAATGTGTTCTGTGTGTGGCATTTCACTAAGCACTGTAAAAGTGGAACTAGAAAACCAAAGGTTTGGGATTCTGGCCATAAATGTCTTATTTTACCACATTTATACATTTACTCTGAGGTATTATTTTTCTAGTGAATGGATATTTCGTTATCAATTATACTCAAGTACCTATATTTTAGTTGAAATATGAAGATACTTGAATGACAGTACTGAGATGAGCTTATTACAGTGCCTGACACGTGGTAGGTGCTCAATAAACGTCGGTTCAACTGAGAGCTATTCTGGGACTTCACTAGGCCAGGAAGTTGACCGCTCAGGGCTGGATACCAACCCAGGAATTCCTGATGTAATATCCTGCATTAGTAAGAGATGACTAATTCAGTGCTGAACCAAGGTCAGCTATAAATTTCACTTTTTTTAAACATAATGATTCATAGAGAAGATTATACCTAAGCTTCCTTCAATAGCTACGATATTTTTATTTGTCTTATACTATATTCAGAAAGAATATATCGAAAGCCAAACTCATTATAAACCCAGAAAATTTCCAGAGCCTTGAGCCACGTTTAAAGTAAAAGCACACCAGTGTTGATTTTTTTAAAAGTTAGAAACATTAGAAACTGTAGAGAATGTTGTGCTTTTTCAGCACCCAAAGACCCAGTCAGTCGTCCCTTTTGCCCTCTCAGCCATGAGAGACCAGCTTCTTCTTCCCAACTTCAAACCAAAATAAACAAACCTTGATACTTGAGAAGACAGAAAACACATTAAACACAGACAGTAAAATTAATAAAAATTGCTAAGCTGTATAGCATTTTAAGGTTTATAAAGTGCTTTAACTTTTATTTGCTTCTTTAGTTTTTTTTTCAATAACTCTAAGAGATAGTAGTATTATTTCCACTTTCTGCAGCTGAAAATTGCATTGCTTTAGTCAGAAAATTTCCTAAAATATGAGATTTTCATGTGGTAGGAGAGACCTAATTATTTCTTTTTGGACTGCTTTCTGTAGATTCATTTGTCAGTCAATGTTTGGCTAATACATCAAAATAATGGATGACTGACTAGTACAGAAACACTCCCTTGGAACAAAAGTTCAAATTTCATAACTAGCTTGCAGAGAAAAATTTATCAGGAGGCATAAAAGACGACCAAATAACTACGTGAACTAGGGGAATAGTTCAAGTCTAAACTTATGAGGACCATAAGCAAATTCCAGAATGCTATAAGTCATATCAAGGTTAAAGAAAAATTAAAAATAAAAAGTATTAAATACTCAGGGGTATTAAAACTCCACATTATTAAAAACTTGTTCATCTGACCACAGTCAGAGACAGAAAAAAATAAGAACATACTATATAGTCAAACAACCTCCACCTCCCAGCAGATCCTTCCTCTTTTTGCCTCCTGGAGCTTGCACCCTACATGGAGTCAGAGTTAATAAAGGCTTGCCAAAAAGCAAGCTGTCTGGTCTTATAGTATATGGCTCTGACAACATGATAATAACCCTGATTTTATTCATATTGCTATGTAAAGTTGGCTTTATATTAGACAAACTTTGTAACGATTTACAAAAGGGGGCATTATTTTAGGCTAAATGTACTAGCCTAATATAATACTCTTTTGTATATTGATGACCCATAATTTAAGATCCATTCTTTTGCCATAAATATCCTTATTCCAGGAAAAATGGAAAGACAACAAAAACAACCACTCCCACCACCACCCTAGGAAGGAAAATGAGATTTCTCTCATTGATGACATCCTAATTGCTAAAGTCAATGGATCCTTCTGAGTAATTATCTAATAGCTTAGATACTCCTCCTCACTTGGAAATGACTTCCTCCTTTTAGTTTCCAGGATACCTGGTTCTGGTTCCTGTCCTGTTTCCCTGAGCGTTTATTCACTGAATCTTCAACTCTTTTCCTGACGCTCTTTCCTTAGACATTTCTGTGCCTTCCTGGTCCAACCCTCAGTCCACTCCTCACTCTCTATAGTTTCCCTTAGCAATCTCATTTAAGCCTAGGACTTCTTTTACTTCCTAGAAAATGATGACTCTCAAGTCTGTTTTGTGAGATGTACAGAGAAAGAGATATTAGGACTCCTGGCAATTTTATTCACACAACCTGATCCTGATTTTATTCACACAACCTGATCCTGTCCCTAAGCCACAACTGACTGGACAAGGCATGAACACATGAATAAATCTGATTTTCTCTCTCAAAAGTTTTAGAAGTAGGATTAAGATATTATTCGTTCTGCTGGGTGCAGTGGCTCATGCCTGTAATTCCAGCATTTTGGGAAGTGGAGGCGAGAGGATTGCCTGAGCCCAGGGGTTTGAGATCAGCCTGGGCAACTTGGCGAGACCCTGTCTCTACAATAAATCAAAAAATTAGCCGGGCATGGTAGTGCACACCTGTAGTTCCAGCTACTTGAAAGACTGAGGCAGAAGGACCGCCTGAGCCCAGCAGGTCGAGACTATGGTGGCTGTGAGTATGCCTTTGCACTCCAGCTAAAAATAAAAATAAAAATAAAAAAAGATCATATTCATTCTGTATTGTTTGCCTGAACTGATGACATGTAAACACAGAGCTGGAGGGGCATCAAGCTTGGCCACGTGGCTGTCTATGAAGAGAAAGACCAACTGCAAAGAGAAAGATAAGAATGAAGCTTAGATACACAGAGAGAAGCAGAAATGAGTTATGTGATAACCCAGTGTTTTTCCATCAAATTCCCATTTATGTTTAAGTTAGTTTGAAGTGGCTCTCTGTTACTTAAATCTAAAGCATGCCTATAACATCTACTATTTATATATGATATATACTTTATAATATATACTATATATACATAGAACTTACAAATAATCTTACATTTAGAGATGCAAAATCTAGACTTTCATGTATATGTGTTAAGTAGATAATGTAATAAAATGTTCAAGCATATAAATCTATATACACACATATATGCATAGAAATGTATATATGTGTTTATGGATATTACACGGGCAGCATAGTCAAGGTCTGAGTTTATTTTCTTTCCCCAACCCATTCCCAAACCTGTTGTATGATAGATTTACCACTCTCCAAGTCACCCATAAGTCAGAAAATTGAGAATCCTTCCATCAAGAATCGTTATTGACCTCTTAGAAATATAGGTCCTCCCCTCTCAAGCTTCCTTATAATATATTCCTTATGTATCACTTAACATATTACTTGTCTATCAACTTTCTATTAACCTGTGAGTAGCCTAGGAGTTCCCAACAGGATAAGGAGAAAAGGTGCTAATATTTAATATTTTGTTTGAGTACTAACAATGTGCCAGGCATGTTTATAGGAATAAATTAATGAATTTGACTAATTCAAACAATATTTTTTGAATGTCAATTTTATGGTAAACATTACAGAATTACAGGGATAATAAAGAGAATCTTGGCCTTCAAAGAGCTTACAATCTAAAAGGGGAGATTAAGAAGTATATAAAGCACTTTGAGAGTTCAGAGAAAAAAGAGACCACTTATCTCAGCAGACGGAGGAAAATAAAAGACCCTGGGAGAAAAACACAAGCAGAGTCAATCTGCCATAATCTCTCCTCCTAAATGTTCTTCTATCTGTTGAACATTCCAGCTCATCAAGTTTGATGGCTGTGAAACTGCATCTTTCCCTCCTAGACATCAGCTCTAATGGCTCAGGACTGTAAAAACTGTGGTACAGGATTACATCACACAAGAAAATATGGTGCTAGTGCTTATGGCCCTCAGCACAATTACTTCCCAGTTAAATCATAAAAAGAAAAGTTAAAAAGAAACTTGCCAATTCACAGAGAAAAGTAGTAAACAGATGATAAGGCAGCTGAGACATAAAGCATAGACTATTCTTTTGAGAAGTCTGGCTTCCTGAAGGCAGGAACTAGACAGAAACACTCTCAGCAATCACCATCCTACAGATTTCTGTTCTCTGCCTAATTTCTTGACTACTGTTTATCAAATTGGGAACTGTAGCTCCAACTTCATTCTTCATAAAGATGCTTTTGTCTATTCTGAGTCTTTACCTTTCCATATACATTTCAGAATCAGCTTGTCATTTTCTGCAAAATCCCTCCTAGGATTTTTGATAGGGATTATATTGACGCTACAGATCAATTTGGAGAAAATTGTTTTCTAAATACTGGGCCTATTAGGACATCAACATGGACTGTCTCTCCGTGTATTTAGGTTGTCTTCAATTTTCTCAGCAATATTTTATAGTTTTGAATACACAAGTACTTTGTTCTTTTTGTTGATACTGTGGCTGCAATTGTTTTCTTTTGTTTGAGTCAGAGCCTCACTCTGTCGCCCAGGCTGGAGGGCAGTGGCACAC